TCATAACATTGACCATACCATAGAAGAATGCTCTGCTTTGAGAGACAAGATATGGGAGTTCGTCAAAGCTGGCCATCTAAAACAGTTTGTCAAGAAGAACTGTTTAGACCGAAGTCCACCTTGCTAGTGGAGTCCTATACACTATCCTATAAGAGCAGAGTANTTATATGATCATGGCCTAAACGACCAATACCGTTTGTCATAGTTTATTTATGCAGCTTACTGAAAATATGGACGAGCTTAGGAAACGAGCATCCTAGTTCATGCAGGTAGAGAAGATGAGGGATATCCCCAAACAGATGTGCATAGAGTCATTGGAAGGAGATAAAAAGTGAGGGGAATTGAATTCGTCTAGAAAACCCCACGAATCACAAGGTAAAGAATGACCCAATGGACCTCATTTCAATAATTACACACGCTCAGTGTGTCGTGAGCCAATATCTTGGAAGAGGCCTTCAATGTTGACCTTTTTCCCTGTCAAGGAAGAAGTCTACCATCCCAATGTTAACGATAACAAGCACTGCCTTTATCATCATAACATTGACCATACCATAGAAGAATGCTCTGCTTTGAGAGACAAGATATGGGAGTTCGTCAAAGCTGGCCATCTAAAACAGTTTGTCAAGAAGAACTGTTTAGACCGAAGTCCACCTTGCTAGTGGAGTCCTATACACTATCCTATAAGAGCAGAGTATGGGATCAGGAGAAAAAGAGAGTCTCCCAAGCGAAGAAACCAAAGCAGAAATAGGAGTAAGAACCACCCACTAAGAAGGCATATAAACACTATATCTGGAAGATTTGCAGGAGACAACTCCTTCAACTTGACACAAAAGAGACATGTCCGAGAGCTCAAAATAGTACACTTGGCCGAGAGAAAAGTAAAAAACATGCCTCCAATCACATTCACCGATGAGAACTTCCAAACTCCGTATCCTAATCAGGATGACCACATGGTTATCTCAATCAAGCTAGTTAAGTATAAGATCAACAAGGTGTTAGTTGACCTAGGAAGTTTGTTCAAAATCTTATATTGGAAGATCTAATTGTGTCCTATGATGAGTAGATAGTAGGATTCTTAGGCAAATAGGTTGATACCCACACTTACCTAGACCTATGGACACAGATCGATTTAGGATGGACAACTGAGAGGAGCGAGTACATTATCTATTGGAAAAAGTCAATACCTCATACAATATGTTGTTAGGTCGACCATATTTGAATGTTTTTGAAGCAATAGTGTCCATACCACACTTGGCCATGAAATTTGCATCTCACAAAGGAAAATATGCAAGATGCATGCAAACTAGAAAATAGCTTGAGAGTGTTATATGTTGGCTTAAAGGTAACACCTTACTGATGCCCTTGGAAGGTTCACCGATCAAAAGTGACAATGATAGATTTTGATCATAGGACGAACACCATCGATAGAATGGAGCCTCAAGGAGAGATCAAGGATCTGAAGATAGGACGATCAAATAATCAGGTCAGTAAGTTGAGTAGTGATATGAGTCAAGCACTCGAGCAAATGTTAGTAGTTATGCTTCTAAAAAACAAAGATGTGTTTACATGGACGTCAACCAACATATTGGGAATAATCCATGGATGATGTCTCACAAGTTAGTCATCTTTAAAGAGGTCTGATCGGTGGCACAGAAAAAACGTCGATTAGGGAAGGAGAGGTAAAAGATGGTCATATCACTTATTTAATTCATTATTTTGTAATCTATCACATCAATCATATTGCTTTCTAATTTTCATAAGTTTTCTTCTTATTTCTTTTAAAACATTGTTATCTTTTCTTAATCCAAATAACCCAACTTAAAACTCTCTTTTCTCTCAAAATCAATTGAAATCCACTCTTCAAGTCCACTTCCAAAAACAAACACAAGCTAAATGGTGAATTAGATTGTTTAATAGAAAACAAAATTGCAAAACTTATAAAGTTGGAATTTGAGTTGTACACTTTATTGTATATATTAATGCCTTTATTTTTTTTTCTTTTTCTTGATATAGAACTGAGTCTAGTTTTTCATTATCATGCAGATATAAACATATATTGTAACAAATTTTGTTGTTGCATCATATGTTGGAGCCTATCCAATCTCTTAGCCACCTTATATTTCAAGACCAAAAGGTTATATATTTTAAAGAAAGATCTAATTATTTTAATTGAAACTTATCTAGTTTTTTATTCATAGTAACTTTAGGGCGAATGATTGTGTATTCTACAAAATAATGTTAGAGTATGTTTGAATTGAAGAGTGAAAAGAAAGAAAAAGAAGAAAAAGAGAGTATAATGTAAGGGTGGCTAAAAATCTAAATTTTGAGATTCAATTTATAATAATTCAAATTTATATTACTTTCAATTTATTTAAATGGATTTATCTCAAATTCAAATTCATATTTCATATTTTAAATATAAACTTAATTAAATTTAGATTGAATTTAGATTCAACTTAACCTAGGTCTAAGGTCGAGTAGAATTAGTCTAGAGCAAACATTAAGTCAAGTCGACTTAAGATGGAGATTCAGCCAAATCAGTCTAGGTAGATGTTAGTGGAAAACGACAAGTTGCACATAGAATATTAAAATTGAAATAGAAAAACATATCTATTAACATCATAAAATTAGACCAAAGAAAAAAAGGAAAACCTTTTTCCAAGACACTAAGCAACTACTCCAAACTCTATTTACGCTCCACATTCACATCCATATCTCTCATTCATAGTCCATCTTCATCTCCAACATCAAAAGGGAAAAAACCTTCATAAATGAAGGAAAAGACCCAAGGAAGAGTGGCGGAGCTTCCCAACACCCTTAGCAATCTCCAAGAGGTTCTCCCAAGCTCTTAAAGTGTTTCTCTATTGTGAAAAATGAGGAATACCTAAAACTCTTGTGAAAGACATGTATAAATACCCATTTTTTACATGTCAGCACTGATACTGCCCGTGCCATATTAATACCACCCGACACAACCAAATAAAACACAAAATAGTGGTCTTTGCAGAACCACCATCCAACATTGATAACTTCTCTTGCATGTGGCGCCTAATGCCATGTATCTACTACCTAACGCCATATCCCTTACAACATTTGTTGGTTGAAGATTTTGTAGCACTGGGCTTGATTCCAACAGCGCCCAATGCTGGTATTTTCTCTAAAATGATCTTTTCTTGTCCAAAACATGCTTAAGTCTTCACTTGTTTTCCTCCACCAAAAGTATTTCCTATTCACTTAATTAACACATCAAAATAGAAATTAAAGGTAAAACAAACATTAAATAACCAAAACACCAAATAATCCAAAAACACAATAAACATGAGGATTAAACAAGATAAAAGCTAGGGAAAGTTGATTTTATTCATTAAAATCAACGCATCAAAACACATTAAAATCAACGTTATCAATATAGTCGAGTCAACCCAAGTTGAAGTTGTAGTTGAGTTGGTCAAGATCAAAGAATCAAGCTGAGTCGATCTATGTCAAAAGTCAAGATATGTTTGTTCATGCTGAAGATCGAGATAGGTCGGCCTGAGCTGAAGATCGAGACAAGTTGGCCAAGACTAAAGGTCAAGCCAAGTCATCCCAAATAAAAGGTCAAACATAGTCATCTTGGGTTGAAGGTCGGGCCAAGTCTTTCCAAGTTGGAGTTCAAGCCAAGGTTTCCCAGGTCAGAGTTTAAGTCAAGTTGGTCAGGCCAAATTTCAAACCAAGTTGACACAAGTTGGAGTTCAAGTCGAGTCGGTATGGGTCAAAGTTCAAGCTGAATCAACTTGGATTGAAGGTCAACTATGTCGGCCTGGTTTGAAGGTCGACTGAGTCGGTTAGGAACTAAGTCAGTCCGTGGTGAAGGTCAACTAAGCCGACTCGAGGCAAAGGTCGATTAAGTTGGCCTGAGCCAAATGTTGGTCAAGTCAGCTTCGCTTGAAGGCCTAATGAGTTAGCTCTGATTGAAGATCTAATGAGATGGCCCTAATCAAAAGCCGACCAAGTTAGCCTTAATTGAAAGTTGTGATAAATCAATCCTGATTGAAGATCGAGACGAGTCAATCAAGGATTGATAGAATCAATCCTAAATAAAAGCAATCACGATTCGCATAGTGTGATTCTTATGATTTTTACAACCGTATATCTAGCCATATATCTCTAAACCAACACTAAAATATTCCTCCACCACGTACTATCATTTTCTCCTCATTTTTTCAATATCAGTAAGTAGTTAAAAAAATTAAATTAAATATATTTTTTTCTTTTAACTTTGATTAAAATTAAAAATTTTACTCACAAACTTTAAAATTAAATAAATATAATTATCTTAAACTAATTGAATTAACTTTTTTATATCCTTTTATTTATTTATTTTTTAAATTTAAAAAATTAAAATGAATCAAAATTTAGAATATGAATAAATTTCAATATTGCGTTAAAATTTTACAAACATATTTAAGCCCTTAAAAGATTATATCTATTATTTTACTAAGCTATATATTTTTGCCTAACTTAAAAATATTGTTTATTAAAGAATGTAGTCAATTGTTCGACCTCAATAGTAGGAAGATTGTACCAAAGTCTATAGGGCCAAGGAAGATTGTTCGACTTCAATTTTATTAGTATAATTTTAACCCGTATCTTGCCCATATCACAGTCTCATAAAACCTAGTCCTTCTGTCTATCATTTCCACCGTTATTACATCTTCAACTTGCCAACAAACCCTAACTTCTTGTTTTGAATTAAAAAAAAAACAACAACATAGCGCGGGTACTTCAGATATTCAGCCGGTAATTTAGTTGGCATATAAAGAGTCCACATTTGATTAAAGCAAATATACCTTTTCTTGCACGAGTTCACCCAAATATACTTATTGAAGCACAAGAACGGCCAAAGTTATTATGCTACCAAACAGATGGGGGGAGCGGGCAAGACCGTGGAAACAAACCATTTCAGATCATTCATTTTATCTTGCTTATGGAAGTAAGAAACAACTGCAAAATTGTGCATCTAACGAGTAAAACCAGTGTTACATTAATTTCAATCAGATAAAAGGGTGGGGTTCACATGGAAACAATTTGCAAGAGTTTCAAAGAAGGTATGTACAAGAAGCAAATCAGAGGATCAAACCCTGAGCAGGAGCAGGCTTGGAAGAGTGCAGATCGCTAGTTGCAGCTGCTTTCGGGGAGTCAGAAAGGACCTGTGCATATTGGTCTTCTACTTTTCGCTTCTGTTCCTCTTCTGCATGTACCACTTTCTCTTTTGTCTTCTGTCCAACATCCTCAGCTGCCTTGGCAACCCTATTAAAAGCACCAGTAACCCAAGAAGTCCCAGTGAGCACATATCGATTCTTCATTATAGCAGATCCTGCAGTACTGACTTTCTGTTCTGCAACTGCAAANTTTTATTTATTTATTTTTTAAATTTAAAAAATTAAAATGAATCAAAATTTAGAATATGAATAAATTTCAATATTGCGTTAAAATTTTACAAACATATTTAAGCCCTTAAAAGATTATATCTATTCTTTTACTAAGCTATATATTTTTGCCTAACTTAAAAAAATATTGTTTATTAAAGAATGTAGTCAATTGTTCGACCTCAATAGTAGGAACATTGTACCAACGTCTATAGGGCCAAGGAAGATTGTTCGACTTCAATTTTATTAGTATAATTTTAACCCGTATCTTGCCCATATCACAGTCTCATAAAACCTAGTCCTTCTGTCTATCATTTCCACCGTTATTACATCTTCAACTTGCCAACAAACCCTAACTTCTTGTTTTGAATTAAAAAAAAAACAACAACATAGCGCGGGTACTTCAGATATTCAGCCGGTAATTTAGTTGGCATATAAAGAGTCCACATTTGATTAAAGCAAATATACCTTTTCTTGCACGAGTTCACCCAAATATACTTATTGAAGCACAAGAACGGCCAAAGTTATTATGCTACCAAACAGATGGGGGGAGCGGGCAAGACCGTGGAAACAAACCATTTCAGATCATTCATTTTATCTTGCTTATGGAAGTAAGAAACAACTGCAAAATTGTGCATCTAACGAGTAAAACCAGTGTTACATTAATTTCAATCAGATAAAAGGGTGGGGTTCACATGGAAACAATTTGCAAGAGTTTCAAAGAAGGTATGTACAAGAAGCAAATCAGAGGATCAAACCCTGAGCAGGAGCAGGCTTGGAAGAGTGCAGATCGCTAGTTGCAGCTGCTTTCGGGGAGTCAGAAAGGACCTGTGCATATTGGTCTTCTACTTTTCGCTTCTGTTCCTCTTCTGCATGTACCACTTTCTCTTTTGTCTTCTGTCCAACATCCTCAGCTGCCTTGGCAACCCTATTAAAAGCACCAGTAACCCAAGAAGTCCCAGTGAGCACATATCGATTCTTCATTATAGCAGATCCTGCAGTACTGACTTTCTGTTCTGCAACTGCAAATGCTGATTTGGTCTTCTCTGAAACCTGAAACTTTTGATCCACTTCTCGTACTCTACCACTTACAACAGAAGCACCAGCACTTATTTTTTCACTAAGCCCAAGTTTTTGGTCAAAAGAAGTAACTTTTGCTGAAGCTGTTGAAGATAACTGGTGTTTATCATCAAAAGTCTTTGCTTTGTTAACAGCATCCTTACCTAAGATAAAACCCTTCGCAAGCATGCTGGTGACCACATCCTCTGCCTTCCGTAAAGCAGAGTCAGCACCACCAGGAGCATTACGCTGTGTTGCCTGAAAAATATCACATAGTTGTTAGGCAAAATCATTAGGTACTTTATAAGTAGAGGATCTTTACAAAGCTTACAGATGATGCCAAGGCAGCAGGTGGAATTTGGTAATCTTGATCGAGTGCTATTTTAACTGACAAATCAACAATAGTTGCTCCCTGATGATTGAAACTTGGTTAAATTTTAATATGACCTCAGGCTATATAAAATTCTACATTAAAGGAACAAATATACACCCATTTTAGTTATCCATAGACGTACAAGGGAACATTTGGCATCACATTGCTTCTCCATTTATCAATGAAATTTAATGCCACCCCCTTCATTCTTCATTGATCAATTTGATGTCATTTAAGGGGCTAATTATATAGTATGTTGGACATCCCATGTCAATTAGAAATAAGATCAAATTATGATATATAAGTTGGGTGCAATGCTTATCTTGCAAACCTGTTTTGTGAAGTTAAGTATAAATCCACTTACTAAGATACTCTGAGTCTACTAGTCAGGTTCTTTGGACTATTATGCCACTGTTATTAGACTCCTGTTAGACCACTCATTGAAGATCTCACATGGACTAGATGACATTATAACATGTTTCAATGACTACTGGGAAAAAATAAACATTTACCAATGTAGCAGGTGATGAACAATGTTTTAAACTCCGGGTATAACCTATCATAATATTATGGTAGTCCTAATAAATATAAAAACTACACACATTCCATACAGAGGCAAAATCATACCACCTCTGAGTTCCACGTAGTATTTTCTTTTCAATTGCTACACAGAATCACCCATAAATAAGACAGCTTATTTGCTAAGACAGCTTATTCGCTAGGACCGCAAGAAAAACAAGTCACCATTAGCATCAATAATCTTGAAAGATGATGAAAATTTCCAAAATAGTTCCAGTAGTTATCAAAAGCAGAGAAGGAAACGTTTCCAGAACATTCCCATGAATCAATAATATAATATACAAATCCATTAAGATTACTGAAAATAATAGTAAAAGGAAGCCCAAACTTTCAGGATAGGAAAAATTGTTTACATAAGAAAGAGGTTTACTATGAACCATTATTTGTTGACAAATGAACAATGGTAATTATGTTAAACAACACTGGCATCGGTATCAGTATCAGAACAGACTTCTTTCAAAACATTTAACTTTGTGTACTGGGAAATGAATGGGAAGACATTTTATACGAAGCTTCAAAAATTAACCACGACATATGTTTTGCAGACAGCAAAAATCCAAAATATTGAAACGATAAAATGAACAAAAAT